GAGGAGACCCAGGTATGTCCTAGCAGCTGCTTTTTGTCATTGCACTTCAGTTTGAGACACTCGATGGGAGGAAGCCGATCTGCGCTCTGTTGTAGTTTCACGTTAGACTACTGTGGCGAATGATTTAAGGTCCGTGGGCCATGGAAGGAGGAAAGTAAAACTAAAGTCTTCTCCTAGAGCTATAGTCTTTTAAACACTGGCATACAAGAGTTGTTTTGCGTAGCATGTTTCCCATCCCTTAAAAGACTAGATGCAAACAAATAAATTGTTTCGCAAAGCTGGCGTATCTAGAAGCAGGGAGACTAGTACAGATGAATGCTCCAGACTACTGAGGCTCAAGAAAAATCAAAGTAGCAAAATTGCACTTGTGGTGTGAAGGGAAGCAAGGAGAGCCACTTGTAGTCACATGTGATCAACTTCAGTAACAGAAAGTTTATGGAATGTTATATTTCAACGGTTGCCTCTGCTATTTTTCCAGAGGACTCCAGAGAATATTTTTTTAAACCAGCTTCTGGCATCTTCTTCTGTAGCTTTAAAAAAAAAAAAAAGTATGGAGAGGAACAAGGGGGGAAAAACCCAATCCACACTTTAAAAGCAGAAGTCAACATACCCCTTCCCACATACGCTTTCTGGTACAGCTAGATTGTTGCTGCTCCAGAACACCGAGCCTTTTTTTTTTTTCCTATGTTCATTCAGAGTCCCTGGCAAACTGTGAGTCTGCCTGCAGTTGAAGGTCTCTAGGTGCTACTGTGATACAGCCATTAAACTTTTTTTGGTCCACACACAAGAGAGTTCACAGCATAAATCAATAATTGCATAAAATCTGAGACTTCTTCAGCTGCTGTCTTAAAAAAAGATATGAAAATGATGCTTATATATAGGGTTATTTATAAACCTTTTTAAAAAAGTGGATCATGATTATTTTTTTTCTCTTGTTTAAATAGAGTATAAAACACATGCAATAGAGAGTATCTTTTATTTCAAAACCTGGGGAGATATTCGGACTTGTCTTTATTTCCATACCAGCTTAGCATGGATGTCAAGTCTGTGTTCTTTAATTCACTTTAATGTTAATTAATCAAATTCTCATAGATGAAGAACATGAAGATTTACAGGTAAGAAATTGTTTCTGGTTTTAATATACCAGCTATAATATGTTTGATTTTTAGGCTATCTTTCTCATCGCTTATAGGCTTGCAGGGGATTCCCAAGTGGGGTGGGCTCTGTGCTCCAAACCGCACAAGCCTCTGCAGTCCCACTGTCTTATCTCCCTGGAGGGAGACGCGTTCTATGAGCAAGCTTCTCTGTTTCCATTTACAAGTGAAGAAACCATTATCTCCTCACCCCCCCTTTTCTCAAAGATACTTTTATACTCTCTTCCAGTTTGCAGCCACCTCCTAATTCCATGTTAACTTATCCTCCTAGCTTAAGTAGGTCACTGAGGACTGTAAAGAGACTTGGGAAAAGACAGCCATGCAGAATAGCGCACTTTATATTGTAAAGAAGGTAGCTGAAAGCGGGGGAGATCTCTCAAAGAAACAAAGTAAACTCAATCTTTTGTTCTGGCTGCAAAATGTAGACATGTTAGAAACTATTTCCTGCATAGCTGCTAACCTGGTTGATGCCTAAATGTTACAGGCAACTTGCAGGGGGGAAAAAAAAAATCAAGTAATCCCAGGGGATGGGGGGCAGAGAGAGCAAACGCTGTAGGACTTCACAGCCTGCTCCTGCAGATGCTCCTATCCCATCTGTGCCTCAGACCTGGTCTATGTTCAGTTGTTTTCTGGTTGACGCTTCTGCTTGAAGAATATTTTTTTAAAACTAAATAAATATATCAATACTGGGATAGACAGTCTTAGATTATTTTTCCATGTAGAAGCAGTATAAAAAAAGCTTCCTTTTAATAAAGCCAATGTAAGGACTTTCACTACTGCAGATGCATCAGGAAAACTGCACTGGTGTAGTTAAGTGTACAACAACCTTTTTCTGTTGTTTTCCTGTTCACTAGCTGTGAAGTGATACTGTCCCCAAAGTTTGAGTCTGCTCCATTTATCAGCTTTTAACAGCCCTAGTGTATTCTTTTGGACATAGAGTGCTGCTTCTTATATTTAGGGAGAAAAGAAAAGCTTTCTGAGTGCTTTCAGACTGTTAAAGATGCATAGGCACCAGAGTGAGAACAAGCAAGAGCAGAGCCTGCAAGAACCTGTGAAGAAAATGGGTAGAAGAAGTAATGATGCTTGGGAAAGGGAGGGTTGCTGCTTTGCTCTTGAGACAAAAATTGTTTGATATCAACATGGAAGTTGAATGTTATTTATGAATGTTTTGATAGTGCTGGAGGACTGCAGTATCATCAGTGACAAACTGTTCCTTTACAGCGTATGTTCCAAATAATGCAGTGTGATTCAAGCAAGTGTTGTTCACATGAAGAATCCTGATGTCTAGTGCATGTGATGCATGCAGTCTGTTTTCCTCACAAATAAATGGAGCAGTGCCTCAGCTGGTTTATACTGCCTTAACTCTCTGAATTCAGTGGACATCTGTCTGTGGACTTCTGTCAGTTTGTCTGCTAACCTTGCTCCCACGTTCTTCCTCCTGTTTGGCTTGCTTCTATCCATTGCAGAAGCTGCAGGGATCTGAGGCTTCTTTGGCTGTATCTTGCACCTGATGGGAAACTTGAAACCAATTTCCTCTGTTCCTAATTGCATACACTTACTGCAGCTCTGGGGTTGCTATAGGGAGTAGTAAGTCCAGATTTAAGTATCGTACGTGCTGAAGGCTCCTCTTCTCAGAAGGGTATATGAGTGTAAAGGACTTGGTTTACAACAATTGACTTAATGGATGTTGTTAACGCTGTGTATTTAACATTGTGCAAACTCCATTTTGACTGCACAGTCTTCTGTGATATTTGTTAACTTCCAGTTTGAGATGAAATTCTAAATTTAAAAGCTAATAAATAAGGGGCACCAAGTATCACTTTTCTCCTGTTTATATGGAAGCATACTGGCACAAAAAAATTCAAAAATCAATTTGTTTTGAATCTGTCTTGTAGAATCAGTGCTTAAATTTCAGGTGTCCTTGCAGTGTTACAATATCCAAGTCTGCCCGTAAGTTGGAACTCAGGTTTATAGTAAATGCTTAATTATGGGAGAGTATTTGGGCCAGGCATGTCAGAACTGATACTGTAGCACAAGGCGCCACTTCCCTGCAGGGGCAGTTGGTCTGTGCCCAGGATGCGGAGCCTAATTTCAAAATTTCAGGTAAATTTTGAAATTAGGTAAATTTCTAAAAGCTAAATTTCAATATATGCAGCAGGGAGAATGTGAAATGCCAGGTTAAGTCCAGATGATTTCTGCATGAATACAGGGCAGGAGCTGAGCCTGGCTCACTGGCGTGATCCTTGCCCTAGCACTCCTGAAGATACGCTGTTTTGACTTTAGCGTTTAGAGTTTATGGTTCTTCGTTCCTCGCCGACTGAGGACAGAGTTATTCTATAACAACTCTGACCACCACCCACGGAAGTTTTGTCAAGCAATGTGCAACTTCTAGCAGCTATAAAACACCATGAAAAAAAAAACCAAACCACCAAACCCAAAACCCAAGAAGCCCCAATGTTGAAACCTGTCGTGCTGAAGACATATGTCACTGGTATGCCGTGCACAAATGTTACTCTGCCAACAAATGCTGTTCCTCCCACCCCAAGACTGCCATGTGACTCATTATTTGAATAACAATTTTACATCGCTGTACCCGAGCAAACATAAAGGGAAACATCTTAATATCTTGTAATACTTGTTTGTCATCGGTTATGAGCCTGAATAAATGGGTGTGTTACGCTAATGAGAGCAGCTACCCTGCAGCGTTATAAGTGCTTCTCTATTGCTCTAAAGATGTTGTGCAGGTCCTCCTGTGGAGTAAAGCGTGCCAACACCATTGTTACTTTCGTGGTATTTGGTGCTTTCCACCCAGTCTCTTGGGTATTCTGCTCATCATAGGAGATGTCTGAAAACGCTGTATATTCACTGACAAATACTTGTGGTTTGGTTTAGAGGCTGAGCCAACTGTTTCTAAAAATATATTCCTTTCTTCCAAGGAAAGAGCGCTAGAGCTGCTGCTCTTTCCTCTTCCGGAGATCCTCCATCCTTCCACACAGCTTGCAGTCATTCTAACCTCTCCTTTGTTGTTTAGGTGTGGTGTGTGGGCAGCTTTACATTGTTTGGGTAATGCATTCAATGCACATTTACTTAATGCCTGCTGTTTGCCTGAGTATGTTGTTTTTTCTAACTCAGCGTGTACAAAGCTGTTTGAGGTAGTAAAATCAGAGCCATGAAAGTCTCCGCATAGGGAAATGCAGAAGAAGAACTTAATGCAAGCAATTTTTAGGTACAGTGATGCATTGTCCAACACCAGCAAGCTTTCTGAATACAAGAAGCTGTTTTTATTTTGGATTTAAAGGGTCTAGGTATACAAAGTAATTTCCTAGGGGGTGGTTTTGCAAGGAATTAATCGCTGCCAGTAAGGGTTGCTCATATACTCACTGTGATGACTAAACCAGTTTTCCTAATGCAAATTCACAGATAAGATTTTCTATCATATACCAGACATTCCTTTGGAGTCCAACCCTTTTGGGTTGTATCCAGTTCCTCACACTATTCCAAAGGTCATTAAGAGATAATCAGCTCTGAATTATGATAGGGCAAGAGCAATTGCACAAGCATAGATTCAGCTTCACACGTGGTTGATATAAACTTTACTCCAAGTAAACAGTCTTTCAAAACCATGCTAGTGAATAAATTAGATTTCCCAAGTTATGTGATAGGCTTGTCCACAAACAGAGGGAGATTACAGCAGTCAGTTTCCCTTCTCAGTGACAACTTAAAAGGTCATAGTCACCCCAAGTTGTGCCAGTACAGGACCCACCATGGGCATTCAGAGCTTCAAGGTCAGATCCAGCTATACAAGTATACTCCTCACCATGAAGTTCTGACAAAATATCCATTTACCTTTTCCACTGCTGGTGAGGGATGGTGATTCCTGATGGTTTGGGAGCAATTTAAATACGGAACTATTCCAAGTCAGGCTGCATTGGCACATGGATGGCAGATCGTCTTGAATACCTGGCTGTGGGCAGAAGCGAGCCCCGGGAAGGCTACTGATGGAGCCGGGTAACGCTACTGATGCGGGTCAGCCCACCCCAGCTGGTCTTAGAGGGCAGAGGGCTGCTGTCCCCTGCCTCCCACAGACTCCAGGAGCTCACCCTCTCTTCACTTCTGACCTACGTATCTCGAGGCTCCTGGGCGCAGTGCTGTTATGTGTGGTCAGAGCCTTTTATCGCAAACAGCCCGTTTTTCTGCTCATTAGGCCGATGAACCGCACAAGTTCCCAGCAGCAGAGGGCAGCAATATAGCCTCTGTCAAAGAGTACATTTTTGCGCCTTACAAAACACCAACAAACTTCTTCACGTGCTCATTCAGTTTGTTTACGCTATATTACTGGTCAACTATGAAGAAGCTGTTCATTCTTTCCGCCTTCCCTCCCTGTGGCTCAATGCCCTGGCTTTCCTGCGATTGTAACTTTCTGATGCCGCAGATGGAGCACAAGATGTTGACAGCTCTCTGGCTTCTCTTGCTAGGTTACAGAACCGACGCCGTGGCTGGCAACACACCACCGCTGCTGCTCATTTTGTTTCTAACTGATTTTTCCAGAATAACCTGAGCATATGCTGTAGACTTTTTGCTTGGATAGGTTACAGAGGAAGGAATGTCCTGAATCAGACTGCAGTGGAAACAGGTTTTGTTTCCTAAGTTCTTGCTTGGGTTTTTTTCCAAATATCAGTTACAGCATTCCGTGCATCCAAATGAATTCCTGTTCATACTAACTGCAGTGAGCTGGAGTTGTTTCATTCACATATAACTGCTGAAATGCAGGCTGCCTTCTTGGCTTCTGGGCATTCAGAAGAAACGTTGAGAAACCTGCCCATGTGTTGGCGTGGATCTGCTGGGGCTACTGGCAGGTGTAGAGAGCGTCCGTGGTTTGTCGCACACCTCCTGGTGTTTGTTGGCTCTCACAGTTCCAAGTCCCCCAAAACGTGGTATTGTGAGAAATGCAGCTCTTCTCCTCCTAGTGCATTTTACTCTGCTAGACATAGCAGAGTGCCGGTGCTGGCCTGGTGCCTCTGGCCACGGCCACCCG